CCTGTGTTGTGCCAGTACCAAAAATTAAATGTCCAGCTCAACTTAATGACTTCAGACCAGTAGCCCTCACTTCGCACATCATGAAGACCTTGGAGCAGCTGATTCTACGCCTACTGAAAGACTTGAGGTCAAAGACAAACTCGACCCCCTGCAGTTTGCATACAAACAACACATTAGAGTGAATGATGCTGTCCTCTACATGCTTCACCGTGCCCTAGCTCATCTGGAGGAACCTGGCGCTCATGTGAGAATCATATTCTTTGATTTTTCAAGCGCATTCAACACCATCCAACCCAACATTCTCAAAGACAAGCTCACAGAGATGGCAGTGGATCCTTCCTTTATCTCCTGGATCACAGATTACCTGACAGGAAGGCCACAGTATGTCAGATTGGGGAACTGTGTTTCTGGGACATTAATGAGCAGCACGGGGGCTCCACAAGGTACTGTCCTGGCTCCATTCCTGTTCACACTGTACACAGAGGACTTCAAATACAACACTGAGTCCTGCCATATCCAGAAATACTCGGACGACACTGCTATTGTGGCAGTATCAGGAATGGGCAGGAGTCTGAATATAGGGACCTGATAAAAGCCTTCAGTGACTGGAGTCACAAGAACTGTCTCCTCCTGAACACCTCAAAGACCAAGGAAATGATCATAGATTTCCACAGGTCCAAGCCCCCTCTTCAGCCAGTGAATACCTGTGGGGTGGACATCGAGGTGGTGCCAAGCTATAAGTATCTAGGTGTACACCTGGATAATAAGTTGGACTGGTCCCTAAAGATGCAGAAAAATTGGTCCACGCTTTTGTTACCTCTAGGCTGGATTACTGTAACTCCCTATTATCAGGTAGCTCTAGTAAGTCTTTAAAAACCCTCCAGCTAATTCAGAATGCAGCGGTACGTGTACTAACAAGAACTAAGAAACAAGATCATATTTCTCCTGTTTTAGCTTCTCTGCACTGGCTCCCTGTAAAATCCAGAATTGAATTTAAAATCAATTTCAATTCAATTTTATTTATAAAGCCCAATATCACAAATCACAATTTGCCTCACAGGGCTTTACAGCATACGACATCCCTCTGTCCTTAAGACCCTCACAGCGGATAAGGAAAAACTCCCCAAAAAAAAAACCCCTTTAACGGGGGAAAAAAAAAAAACGGTAGAAACCTCAGGAAGAGCAACTGAGGAGGGATCCCTCTTCCAGGACGGACAGACGTGCAATAGATGTCGTACAGAAC